CACTTACTTCATTCTCTCCCTTGTTTTCCTCCCTCCTGCAGCATTTACTTTCGTTTTCCCCCTTGCTTTCCTCCCTCCTGCAGCATTTACTTTCGTTTTCCCCCTTGCTTCCCTCCCTCCTGCAGAACTTACTTCATTCTCTCCCTTGTTTTCCTCCCTCCTGCAGCATTTACTTTCGTTTTCCCCCTTGTTTTCCTCCCTCCTGCAGCACTTACTTCGTTCTCTCCCTTGTTTTCCTCCCTCCTGCAGCATTTACTTTCGTTTTCCCCCTTGCTTCCCTCCCTCCTGCAGAACTTACTTCGTTCTCTCCCTTGTTTTCCTCCCTCCTGCAGAACTTACTTCGTTTTCCCCCTTGCTTCCCTCCCTCCTCCCTCCCCACAGTTCATGGCAGTCTGTCACCATACTGTAGCGAAGCACAAGCAAGCATAAGGTGGCAGCTGACACAATATTTCTCTGGATCTTCAGGAAAGCTTTTTATTATTATTATTATTTCAACCTTCTTCATTTGAAGAAAAATTAGCGGCCACTGAAGCCCTTTCTTTTTTAAAGCAAAACACAATATTACTTTGAAATAAAAAAGGAATTATTCAACTCTTTAGGCACCCACAGTCTTTTGCTAAGTAACCACAGAACTCAAGTTTCTCGTCTGATGTGGATTTCTTGCAAGAATCAACAGATGAATGAAAAGATAATCGGAAGAATCATTTAATAGTCTTAAGGGTTGTGAGGAAAACAAATTCTTGGACACCTTAACAAGGTAGAAGCATAGAAGGAATGCGAATTAATTGAAGTCCTTGTTTCTCGATATGCTTATCAAAACTTGTATGACAACGCAACTGATATGTTTCTTTTTATTATTAACGCAATAACTCTTTCTTGAGGGCAGTAACAGTAGATGGGTGGGAAAGTAACTTAAGGTTTGCTAATTGTGAATATTTCTATGTACATTTTATTTATTTATTTTATTTATTATTAAACTTATATGCCGCCCTTCTCCCAACAGGACTCAGGGCGGCTTACAGCATATTAAAACAATACAAATACTATCCCCAATAAAAACCAATTAAAAACAAATATTTAACCGCTGTGT